TTATTAGGTACAGTGCTAGTTAACGCAAATTTCTAATTAGCCAATCACATCTCAGCAGCTCAATGCATTTAGGCATGTAGACATGGTCGAGACGATCTGCTGCAGTTCAAAGTGAGCATCAGAATGGGGAATAAAGAGAATTTGAGTGACTTTGAACGTGGCATGGTTGTTGCTGCCAGACGGGCTGCTCTGAGTATTTCAGAAACTGCTGATCTACTGGGATTTTCACGCACAACTATCTCTAGGGTTTACAGAGAATGCTCCGACAAAGAGGAAATATCCAGTGAGCGGCAGTTCTGTGGGCGCAAATGCCTTGTTGATGAGGCCAGAGTTCAGAGGAGAATGGCCAGACTGGTTCCAGCTGATAGAAAGGCAACAGTAACTCAAATAAGCACTCGCTACAACCGAGCTCTGCAGAAGAGCATCTCTGAACACACAACACGGCCAACCTTGAGGCAGATGGGCTACAGCAGCAGAAGACCACACCAAGTGTCACTCCTGTCAGCTAAGAACAGGAAAATGAGGCTACAATTCACAAAAACTGGACAATAGAAGATTGGAGAATTGTGTCAACGCCACAGCCTACCTGAGTATTGCTGCTGACCATGTCCATCCCTTTATGAGCACAGTGTCTCCATCTTCTGATGGCTACTTCCAGCAGGATAATGCAGCATGTCATAAAGCTCAATCATCTCAGACTGGTTTCTTGAACATGACGATGAGTTCACTGTACTCAAATGGCCTCCACAGTCACCAGAGCTCAATCCAATAGAGCAGCTTTGGGATATGGTGGAACGGGAGATTGGCATCATGGATGTGCAGCCGACAAATCTGCAGCAAGTCCGGTTGGTAATTAAATACAAAATCCATCAAATAAAACATAAAATGTGGATGATGTATCGATATGAGACAACTAAGCAGCATAGCTAAATAATGATTCTTTTACACCAATCTAAGATTTCAAAATATGGGACTACCAGTTGTGGAGACATAAAAAACCCAGGCTCATTATGGGTATGTACCCCTATATACATTTCTGGAGAGCTCCAAATACGTCCCAGGAGATACATATTTTTGCGGATCCACCAGAGGCAGCTGTGTACGCTTTTTCTGATCTCTAATGTCTCTCGTCCGAGTGCTATGCACGTCTGCTGTTCTCACGTAAATCTACCAGAGGCCACTGTTGACCAATGCCCCCACCCACCCCCGTCCCTAAACTCATCCGGCAGTGTTTTCTAAAGCAATCCAGAAAAAGAAAAGCCCTCACCTGATTTTTACCTCATTTTCAGACTTGACCACATTCTCACCCTGTTATTTGTTTATTTATTTTTTTCCTTTTGTTTTTGTCGCTTCCTGGGGCTGTTCTTTGCCAGACTTAAACCCCGTTATCATGGACAAACTGGTAACAGCAGAAAAGCCATTGATATTGAGGTACGCGGTCAGCTGGTAAGCATAAAAAAAGAACAGCTTCATACCGCCCTTTAAAAATTCAATAATAATAGTTATTAAATAACCTCTGGCTACATAATTCACCATCTCCAGAAATGTATATAGGGCTGCGTTTGCAGAATGAGCCTGTGTTGCAGAAAGAAACAGTAGCTTGCAACCTATTTAGCCATATTTTAATTTCAGTCAGTGACCCTTTATGCCACCTAATGTAGGCTACACTTTAACAAAACAAATTATAACACAATTTTATACAAGGTACAGAGATTAAACAAATAAATTTTAATAAGCTTTGGACTGAAGCAGACTCAATTTACTGGAACTTCCTCTATGATAAGCTGCTTTGGCAATCTACATTGTACTACATGTGATATAGAAATTGAGATTAACCAACTGAACTAAATGAATGAATGCAAAATAAAAATGAAATATGATGCATCAGTCTATGGAGATTCCTGTCCTGTTCATCTAAAACTCCACATCTATAATCCTGACATTATCTTCAGCAGCTCAAACACTCTAATCCATGGGTGTTAAACATATGGCCCGCAGGCTGAATCAGGCCCGCAAACGGGTTTAATCCAGCCTGTAAAGTATAAAAATGAGGTGCAATTTTTCAATATAAGAAACTGCTGTTCCAATTGTGTCCATTGGAAGGCGCAAACTGTTCATTTCATCCAATCCAGATGCCTGAAACAGCGTCAGCGTGACAGTGTTCTTGAAGAGAAAGACCACATCTTTGCCCTGCCATACCCACAGACTGTAAAATATATGGACGTAGTGTCCGTGACGTCACCCATAGGTTTCTAAAGAGCGCAAAAGAAGCCACAAGTAGGCGTGGCCAACCGTGGACATTTTTTTCGCGCGTCATCACACCCACGGCGGGATACCAAACAAGGGCAAAGAGGCGGAGAGTGGGCGGAGCTACAGACACCTGCTGGCATTTAGCTTGGACCTGGTTCAGACACACTTTACTTTGGGAGAACGCTTAATACTTTATCACCTGTGACTCGCTTGTGTTCTGACCACTTGTGCTTGGTTGTATCAATAAAGTGTTTAGTCTTTTAAAAACACTGCTGTAACACATTGAGCCACTAAACATTGCTCTTATGACGTTTTACAACAGGAGGAAAATGCGAATTACTTCCAAACACTTCAGATATAGTCTGTGTTAGTTAATGTAAGACTATTGATGAACTCCAGCATAACACTGTATGACAACGCTTCAGATGACTGTTCTACAGCCTACAGCTAATCAATCTGACAGATTCTGGAGTGCATTACAGCTCTAAATATAAACGATAAATGATCTTAAATAAAACAAATACATGTATAGAGATTGTATATAAGTATGTAACTTTACTCACATGGGAAATGGAGGCCACGTGAATGGTTTGTGAGCACAATTAAGTGCACTCAGCATGCCATGCCATCTAATAATTGTAGGAAACAAGTCCAAAAGACAGTTGACTGTGTAAAGCCACATAAAACAACACAGAAATACGATAAATATGCCGAGTTCAGTGGCTAATCTGCAGGATTCAGCTGAGGTGACGTGACGGCGACCAGCGAGACCTAGCTGTCACTCAAGTGGCCACGCCCTTAATTATGCAAACTTAATATAACTTAATATAAACGAAACGGATGAGTTATAAAAAAATTCACCCCCTCACAGTTGTCATGAAGGAAACGCTATTTCACGTTAAGTCTTACACACTCAAAAAAAAAATTGTTGAATGAACAAGATTTAATCGTGGCACCCTTTATGCATCTAATCCAATCAAGTAAACCTGAACTGCTTTGAACATGTTGTATGAACACAAAGCACATTTGTAGATAAAACATGGTTTCAATATGTCAGTCTAACTTCTTTGCAACTAATCGACTCAAAATGTTTGTATTGTGTTATTCTATTTAAAATGATTCTAATTTACTCGATGTAACACTAAAGCTTTACTTTAACAAAATGATGTCTTGTTAAATCAGCTAGTAAATTTCTTGTTCAATATTGTTGTTTAAATTCGTTCATTCATTTCCTTGTCAGCTCAGTCCCTTTATTAATCCGGGGTCGCCACAGCGGAATGAACCGCCAACTTATCCAGCAAGTTTTTTTACGCAGCGGATGCCCTTCCAGCCACAACCCATCTGGGAAACATTCACACACACACTCATACACTACGGACAATTTAGCGTACCCAATTCACCTGTACCGCATGTGTTTGGGGGAAACCGGAGGAAACCCACGCGAAGGCATGGAGAACATACAAACTCCACACAGAAACGCCAACTGAGCCGAGGTTCGAACCAGCGACCCAGCGACCTTCTTGCTGTGAGGCGCACGTGCTACCCACTGCGCCACTGCCTCACCCTGTTGTTTAAATTACATGTTTTAAATTACAATACTATGAAGCAAGATTTAAAATTTAGTAATTCGACACAAAAAGGACAGAAAACATGTTATATATATATATATATATATATATAATACAAAATTGTAATATGTAATATAAAATGTATAAGAAACATTTAGCCAACAACATAACATGCATAACATTCAAGCTCTTGGGAAAACCAATTCCCAAACTGTGCCGAAAATACGCGGTGATACTTCTTCTTGTTGTTTTCGTATGGTGACATCCAAACGCACTACCGCCACCTACTGATATGTGCGAAGTGACTGTCCAGAGTGAGAGTTGTCGATTTGAAGCGTCTCAGTCTCATTGAATCAGCATGTTCTGATCAAATTCATTTGATTATTTCTTGATTCAGTTTCAAATAACATGAATTAATCATTTAACATACGTAAACTTGATTTGTTCTTTTCAATCTGACAAGTTTTTATTTTGTAAATCCAATACATGCCTAGTTGATTTTTTTGAGTGCATTAAGAGTTCAGTCATACGAAAACATATGATTTTTTTTTAAAAAAGGAGGCGTGGAACCCAACCACACCCCTAAACACAAACCCCATTGGTGGATAAGCAAATCATATTAAATTGAGATCGTATTCATATGAATTAGCCACCAAATCAAAAAGTTACGACTTGCCATGAGAGCGTGTTGTCCTCCGGTTCCAGTTTGATGTTTTTAAGTTGATCGTATTAAAACAAAAACAAAAAAACATTGTTTTTAAGTTATATATACCATGATTTTACCAGTCCGGCCCACTTGGGAGTAGATTTCCTTCACGTGCCCCCTGAGCTAAAATGAGTTTGACACCCCTGCTCTAATGGTTAATGGACAGACGGCTGCTTCTCACTCAGCTCCTCGCTGCTGTTTATGCTAATGAGATGGAGAGATGGGCACTAGTGGGCGGGGCTTTCCCAGTCTGATAAGGACGTCAATTAAAATGTTTCATTCATCAAGTCTGATTATATAAAACACAATGAATATTTATTTACCATCATGAGCTGGCTATATTCACACAGCCCTTATAATAATGAGTTTTGCTCAATAGCTGCCCTTTAAATTCACTGACTTGCAATGTCTGGAATAATCCTTTGAAATCTCCATGATATTCCAGAAATACAATGACCCACCAGGAAGCCTGATTATGTGATGCAAAAAGGAATTTATTGTTTTACCAAACTTGCAAATGCTACTTGATTCAAGCACATCTTAGTAAACACAGAAGTGCACATACACCTGATGTAATGCATCTGCATGAAAAACGCAGCTCAAACTACACAGGAAAGTCTGTTCAGAGCTGTTCAGTTCACGTTTCTCTGGCAGGGTGTGTTGGAAAGCTCACTCTTCTGATACCACATCTTCTGAAAGACTTTTCCAGCGCTGGATGTTTTCCAGGACAGCTCTGCATCCACTGGCAGACCCTTCGATCTCAGTATCTGCGTTAGCTGATGGACACGCACTACTGTATTATACTGATATTTGAGCTATATAGCATATACTCATAACAACATTAATATGTTATATAACTCAACTCACCTGCAGTAAAATCTCTCCGTTTACTCCCGGTTCGTTCACATTCTGAGCTGATTTTACCTCCAGTCTCACTGTCTGGCTCTTCTTCTCTGCAACACACACAGAAATATACATACATAGACATTCGCACACACGTGTACACACACATGCATTCTAGCCAACATGCACAAACATGCATATGCACGAACACAACCAGTTATATGCATGCATGACCTCTGGATGGTGACAATCTTTGTTCTGATTAGCACCAAAGCAGCCACACGTGCCTTGAGGAAGGTGATGGCCACACTACAGATCCGGGAATGCTACCTCTGGCTAAGCCTGCTGTATTGGAGGGATGTTGACGAAGCTTGCTTTGTTGACACCCCCATATCGGTGCATCTTCAAGGATTTCAACCACCGATTCTTGGCAGTGAAAGAGCAGTTCATCACTATCAGGGAGGTCATCAAAAGGTCAGACTCGTCTGATGTGAGCTGACTACGTGTATTATAAAAGTAGTGTAATCTAATTGTGAGTCCTCATTTTTTGTCAGTACTTATTACAAGTCTTTTAAAAAGCAGTTTACTTTAATTACAAGTACTTTGGATGTTAATGGATTGCATGTAATCCACTGATACCCAGCTCTGCCTCTATGATACCCGCTGCTAAAAACTCACCGGAATAGCAGATGAATGCCAGTTTATCCGGACACTCCCAGTCGTTCCAGTATCCAGTCGGAGTCGTGTAGACACAGTACTGGTTGCCTCCAGAATTGTTTGGTTGTCCGCGCATCCACTGCATGAACAGGCATTTATTTTGATCAGAGAAGACCCAGGAAGCATCAGCACCCATCCGATAGAGACCAATCCATATATTATTGGTGAATCCGCTGGGTATTGATGCCAACATGTCACTGAGGTCCGTCTGGTCTCCGATAGTGGCGAGATCAATGTAATTCTGTCTGCAGTACGTCTGTGCATCCGTCCAGTTCATGACGATTGGGATAAAGTAAAACAGATGAGAGGTCACGCAGGAGCTCAGAGCTGCAGAGACACATGGGGTTGAATTTATAACATTTAAAAGTCAAATTCAACACAATATTAACGAAGACGAGAAAATGCAAAAGCAGACGCTGAAGAAAAGCAAGGACATCTAAAGACTGGAATTCACTGACTTTCTAAACAAAACACAAGTGTTCTTCAATTTAGGCTAATATAATATTTGTAAAATATTGTCTGGTCTTTAAACGTGTTCTTGATATATTAGCACAACGACGTCATTATGCAGTGGAAGTCTTGTTTTCTGAAACATTTCAATTTAATGATCTTGTAATGTTTTAAAAAAAAATTGTGATACATCTGTTATCGTATAATTTTAGTTTAATGTTCATTTATCATTTTTTATCATATTATTTGAATGTTTACGTAATGCTTTTATTAAAATCTCAATAAACTGTTTAATATTTGTGTAATGTTTTTTGAACGCTACATATATTAACAGTTTATCATTCTGGAGCTTAGTTTATGTTTGTAATTTTCTTGAATCTCACATATATTATCACATTTGTATTTTATTTCCTTGTTTGTAATGTTTTTTGAATGTAACATTATCACAATTTTATTTTAATGTTAATGTGAAGTTTTTAAATAACATTATAATTTGTTTGAGTAACATTTCTTGAATGCTACTTTTATTATTACAGTATTATTTTAGACTCTAATCTAAAGTTTATGTAATGTTTTTTGATCGTTACATAATTTAGTTTTATTTTTATGTAACGTTTTTGAATGGCATCATTTCTTTAATGTTTTTGAATGTTGCATATATCTTCACATTATCATTTAGGTTAGCATTTGCTTAACGTTTCTGAAAGTTACATTTTATCATAATTATAATGATTATATAATGTTACATTTTATTGTATAATTAGAATGTGTGCGTAACGTTTTAAATGTTATATTTTATTATAGAATTATAATGGGCGAATTACGTTTCATATTTTACATTTTATTATATAATAATAATGTGTGCGTTACATTTTTAAATGTTAAATTTTGTTATATAATTATAACGTGTGCTTTACGTTTTTAAATATTACATTTCATTTTATAATTATAATGTATGTGTTACGTTTTTAAATGTTACATTTTATTATATAATTAGAACGTAAGCGCTATGTTTTAAATGTTACATTTTATTATATAATTATAACGTGTGTGTTACGTTTTTAAATGTAAAATTTTGTTATATAATTATAATGTTTTTTACGTTTTTAAAATGTTACATTTTATTATATTAATATAATGTGCGTGTTAAGTTTTAAAATGTTACATTTCATTACATAATTATAACGTGTGCATTACGTTTTTAAATGTTACATTTTATTATATAATTATAACGTGTGCATTACGTTTTTAAATGTTACATTTTATTATAT